TTCTGAATAAATGAGTTGTTTTATTATTGACCAGTTACAATTATCTAAGCCCGAGGCTAATTTAGGAATTGATAAATTAAAATTGTTATTTAATATCATACATGTTTTTAAGTTTGCTAAAGCTATTTTTATTGTATTAATTGTTGGATTTTGATAGAATTTTTTTTTAGTTATTAAATGATAAATAAGTTTATTATTAATTCTTGTTTGTAAAACTTGTCCTACTTGTGGGTTTAGTTTAGAAAGAATATTTGTGGTATCTCCATATGTATTTTTTATATCAAGGGCTATCCCTTTGCTCATTTTTAAGTTTGCTGATATGCAGTGAGCTATGGAGTAGTCATTACTTAGTTCAAATATATTTAATTGTATTTCTTTGATTAGGTTAATTTTGGAATCAGTAATGTTAGTAAAGGCTTTTATTATAAGATTGTTATTTAGAGTAATTGTTTTACCTTTGAAATCTATAATGGCATGTTTTTTTGATAGGAAATTGTTTCCTATTATTAATGCACAAGATAAGTCTTGTATGATGTGCGTAGATATTTTGAATTTTATAGAGTTTATTTCTATTTTTATTTCTGTGGACCCAATTAAGATTAAAGGTTTGTTGTTGGGTCCCGTTAATTTCATGTTAATTACTTTGTTCATGATTTGATTTTTGGGCACAAGAGTATGTCTGATGCAACATATATTTGCGCCTGTGTCGATTGTTATTGGAATATCATTATTGTTAAACTTTGCTTTTATGTATAATGCATTTGGAATATTATTTATTATGTGTGTAATAGTTGGATTTATTTTTGACATATAAGGGGAACAATTTTTGTCATAATTGTTTAACCTGTTTATTAGTTTTTTGATTGTGGAAAATATATCCAGCAATTTTTAGCTAGGTGTCCTACTTTATCGCATAATTGACATTTATTAGGATTTTTATTGAAACGACAGTCTTTTGTTAAATGATTGTTGTAATTGCAATTGTCGCATTTTTTGTTGTTTTTAAAATTTTGTAAACGATATTGTTCGATTGGTTGCGGCATTTGGTTATTACTGGTATTTTGAGTATTATAAAATGGTTTATTTATTTGAAATTTATTATTGGGTTTTTGTTGAAATGGCTGTTTAGGATATTTGGTATTTTTGAATTGTTTATTTTTATTTTTTTCGATTTCATTGTTTAGTTTTTTGAATGTTTCTTGGGTTTGTAAGTTATTGTTATTCATTAATTTTATATTTTCTTCCAATTGTATAGTTATGTTGTTTAATTGATCTTTAAATATAGAGGTTTTTATTTCTGATGGGGCTTTGGTTTGTTCACCAGTGATCATAAATTCAATCATTTCAAATTTTCGAATATTTGCTTTTAAATCTGTGATATTATTGTTTTCTAAAATACCTATATATCTGGCAACAGTTGGTTTAAGACCTTTTATTATGTTTCGAACCATTTCTGGTTGTGGCATAAGTGGATCTACGCGTTTACATAAAGATTCGGCGTCATTTATATAAGAAGTAGTTTGTTCATCGTCTAATTGTTTTCGTTTTCCTAATAGGATTCGAAGCATATCCGTTTGGGCTATAGGTTCAAATTCAGTTCTTAGTTTATGTTCTAAGTCCTCCCATTTTGTTTTAACTAATGCATTGTCCTCCGAATTTTCGAAAAATGTTAAGGCTGATCCTTCTAGACATGCGGCAATATATTGGGATTTATCATCATTAGTCCACCCGTTTATGGATGCTGCCCTATTGTATTTTTTTAGAAAAAAATCAATATTTTCGGATATGGATCCTGAGAATCTTCCTGGGTCAAAATATGGTTTTTTACTATCCATTCTATTTAATTTACCAACGTTAATAATTGGAGCAAAATTATGTTCCTCAAATGCGGAGAAATCTGTTGGTAAAGATTCTCCGTTAAGATATTTTAATAGTCTATTTTTTAATTCGGGAACAAGACCTGTGTTTATTAGGCCTCTTTTATTTAATTCGGAAATTAATTGTGGTTTGTTTAATTTACTAACTCCGGTTGCTAATAAGATACAAACTGTGTTGTCTGGAGTATTTAATTCCTCACTTTCTGGACTATTGTTATTCATTTACTGAATTTTTATGAGAATGTAGTGGTTGTATATTTGTAATTGTATTTAATTGTTATTTACTAATTTAAATTATATTAATCTTCTTTGGATTATATGTTTGTTTTAAAAAAATTATATTTATCTTCTCTGGATTATATATTTTATTTGAAT